TGGGCTCAGGCAATTCTCCTGCCTCAGCCTCCTGAGTAGCTGGGATTACAGGCACGCGCCACCATGCCCAGCTAATTTTTTTGTATTTTTAGTAGAGACAGGGTTTCACCATGTTGACCGGGATGGTCTCGATCTCCTGACCTCGTGATCCACCCGCCTCGGCCTCCCAAAGTGCTGGGATTACAGGCTTGAGCCACCGTGCCCGGCCTTAATTTTTATTTTTTAAGACAGAGTCTTGCTCTGTTGCCATGCTGGAATGCAGGGGTGCGATCTCAGCTCACTGCAACCTCCGTCTTTTAGGTTCAAGTGATTCCCCTACCTCAGTCTCCTGAGTAGCTGAGACTACAGACACATGCCACCACGCCCGTCTAATTTTTTTTTTTTTTTTTTATTTTGGTAGAGATGGGGTTTCACCATGGCCAGGATGGTCTGGATCTCTTGACCTTGTGATCTGCCCTTTTTGGCCTCCCAAAGTGCTGGGATTACAGATGTGAGCCACCGTGCCCTACCTAAAGTTAAAATTTATGGAGGAAGCAGGTTTCCCAAAATAGTGATACACTTCTTTATGTACTACAAAGGGATGGAACCACAGGAGCTCAGAGCGGTAGAAGAGTTTGTGAAAAAGGAAGAAACTGAAGAGGAACTCGAAAGGCCAGTGGGCATTGGAAGGAAGAGAATATCTTAACTTGGTGGACCTGAGATGACCACTGGTGTGGTTTTACACCAGCAGGTTTCGGAGTTGGGGCTGGCGCAACAGGCTTATAAAGGGAATGGGGGAAAATATTATATGTTAGTGAAAGAGGTTGCGAATGGATTGTGGAAAGCCCTGAATGGTAGACTGCGAGAGTGACAGGATGAAAATGACATTATAGGAAGAGCAATCTGTCAGTTACGATGGCAGTTAAAAAGTGGTGCACAACTTTCCATTAACCAAACTTGGAATTCGAAAGTGCCAGGACCTCTAGCCGGGGGCAGTTGAGTTCAATTCTATTTTAGATCACGTAGAGACTAAAATAGTGCAGATTGATCCTGATCATCACAGAATTCGTTTGAAAATCGGATTCTGAATGGTGGTAGAAACGTGGGGTACACCACACTCTACTCTCAATTGCTGTCCCAACTCGGGAAAGCAATTGCCTTTCTGATCGGCTACCATGTTTAGCGATTACTATGCGCCAAGCGCATTACGGACACTCTCATTTAAATGGGCAAACCCGGCAGGGCACAGTGACTCACGCCTGTAATCCCAGAGCTTTGGGAAGCCGAGGTGGGCGGATCAGCTGAGATCAGGAGTTCGAGACCAGTCTGGCCAACAGGGTGAAACCCCATCTCTACTAAAACTACAAAAATTAGCGGGGCGTGGTGGCGGATGCCTGTAATCCCAGCTACTCGGGAGGCTGAGGCAGGAGAATCGCTTGAACCTGGGCAGCGGAGGTTGCAGTGAGCCGAGATCACACCGCTGCACTCCAGCCTAGGGGACAGAGCGAGACCCTGTCTCAGAAAAAAAAAAGAAAAAAAGGGAAACTCCTCTGTAAGAGACAGCTTATCAAGTCCATTTTACTGATGGGGAAACTGAGCCTTAGAGAGACGGGATTGGCCAGATCACGGACTGGAGGCAGCAAAGATGTAAAATCAGGGTTGGGATACAGGCTGCGCCGGTAGTATGGGGGAAACGAGCTTCCTGAGACTCAGGAGAAAGTTACAGCGATGGGAAGGGAAACGGAGCACCGGAGACCCTGCAGGCCCACTGGCTGAGCGAAGGGGAACCTCTCCTGAGGTGACACCTGTCAGCACGCCTCTTTTTGGCGCCAGTCCAAAAATCACGGTATCTGATTGGCGAGGTTGGAGGTTGAACGACCCTTATTGGTTAGTTGGACCTCGAACCACACTTTCACCTGGAGGATGGGGCGAGGAGTGGGCGGGATTTCGAACTGTGCCTCCTCGTTTCATTGGTGAAGAAAAAAACAACAACGAAAAACTATTCGGAAGTGTGATTGGCTGTTGCTAGGATCCCTCTCAAGGCCTTATGGGCCCTAGCTACGGAAGCCGAGGAAGGCTGAGCGCCGGGTCTCAAGGAAGGTAGTAGCGGAATCCCAGTTAGCTGTGGAGAGGCGGTATGTCCGGTTCAATGGCGACTGCGGAAGCTAGCGGCAACGATGGGAAAGGGCAGGAGGTCGACACCTCAGCCACCTATTACCGGTTGGAGGAGGTGGCGAAGCGCAACTCCTTGAAGGAACTGTGGCTTGTAATCCATGGGAGAGTCTACGATGTCACCCGCTTCCTCAATGAGGTGGGGCCCGGGAGGTGGGAGGCCTCTGGAGCTGCCGGGGCGAGGGATGAAAAGGTTGTGTGGAGGGTATTGGGGAAGGAAGGGAGGCCTGACTGGGGGCGATAAGGCGTAGGAGAGGGACCACGACCCTCAGAGGGAAACTGCGGTGGGATTGGGGGGGCAGGGCTTTAGTCTGCATACATTTCCAGTCAGCTCCGAGTTCTGGTGCCTTACATAAGATCATGTATTATATGTCGAGCACTTGTTGTGTGCTCAGCTAAACTCTAAGCCATCATTGTCTCCATTTTACAGAAAGGGAAACTGAGGCTCAGTTGAGGACTCTCAAGGTCATACACTTAACGGCCTAGATCCATTGAACCTGGGTCTGAAGTGCACCCACATCTGTGCCTTTTCCAATGTGCCTTCTGAAGTAATACCGATTTTGGTTTTTGTCGTCTTGACCAGAAGCTGAGATTTCTCTCCATACCCCTCCCCCAACCTTGATTATGCGTCCATTGGTTTTTCTTTTTTTTTTTTTTCCGTAATCTGAGTTGACCTTGAGGTCAGAAGGTCAGAAAAAGCGACCCCCACTTTTTTATGTCATTGACTCATTGTTTTGTCACCCTCTTAACTCTTCAAGACTGTTTTATTTAATCTTCAAGCCTGTTGCGTTAGATCTCATTTTAAAAATTATCTTTCAGATCATGGTGCAACTAATTTTTTTTTTTTTTAATTAAGGAAACAGGATAGACTTTAAAAAAAATTTAAACTAAATTTATTGAGGTGTAATGTACACACATAAATTGTGCCCATCTAAAATGTACATTTCGATGAGTTTTGAAGTATTCTTCCATGTGAAGACATAGAGCATTTCCATCACTCTAAAAAGCTTCCTTTCCCTTTACAGTCATTCCCTCCCCAACCCCAGGCAACGAGTGATATGCAGCTACTAAAGATTGGTTTGAAGCTTTGATTTTTTTTCCCTTTTTTTTTTGTATGTGTGATCAATTTATTTTGAGCAATAGATTAATGATTTTGTAAAAGTTCATTTCTGTTTCTCTGAAGGAAATATACTAGTGAAATATTTTTTTCAGTGAATTTGGGGCCTAAGTCTGCATCCTGATTTTTAATTCTAAAAACTTTAAAAATTTAAAAGTTTCCCGTAAAGAACATTATTATTATTGTTTTGAGACAGAGTCTTGTGTGCCCAGGCGGGAGTGCAATGGGGAAATCTTGGTTCACTGCAACCTCCGTCTCCTGGGTTCAAGCAACTCTCCTGCCTCACCCTCCTTAGAAGCTGGGATTACAGTTGCACACCACCACGCCTGGCTAATTTTTTTTTGTATTTTTAGTAGCGACAGGGTTTTCCCATGTTGGTCAGGCTGGTTTCAAACTCCTGACCTCGTGATCCGCCCATCTCGGCCTTCCAAAGTGCTGGGATTACAGGCGTGAGCCACCACACCTGGCAAGAACATCATTTTTAATCAATCTTACTAATGGGCAATAATTTAACAACTCAAAATTTAGTAACATTTTGCATTTGTATGGTGTGCGGCATTTTATGCTTTTAAAAGTGCTTTCCCGTTATTTCATCTTCAAAACACTAGTTGAGGGTGACTTTGATAGTAGTGATTTTTATTTTAACAGAGGTACAAGTAACAGGGTCAGAGAGATCCTGATTATACAATTGATAGTAGCAGATTTGACAGATTCCTTGATTTCTCTTGTCGGCATAGCATTGCTTCAAAATTCTAGCCTTAGCTATGACTTCTAGTACTTGCTTCGTAATAAGTTTTATACTAAAGCATGGTTCATAATGGGTAGAAAATCATGTTTTTCCATCTGGGCACAGTGGCTTATGCCTATAATCCCAGCACTTTGGGAGGCAGAGGTGGGTGGATCACCTGAGGTCAGGAGTTCGAGACCAGCCTGGGCAACATGACAAAACCTCATCTCTACTAAATATATGAAAATTAGGCATGGTGGTTCCTGTAATCCCAGCTACTTGGGAGGCTGAAGTAGGAGAATAGCTTGAACCTGGCAGGTGGAGGCTGCAGTGAGCTGAGATGGCGCCACTGCACTCCAGCCTGGGCAACGTAGCAAGACTGCATCTCAAGAAAAGGAAAAAAAAAAAAAGAAAAAGAAAATAATGTTTTTCATTTGTGGTTTTATTTTCTCCAAATTTCTTCTTGATTGATTCAGTTTCTTTTTGCATATACAAGCCAAAGTGAATGTAGTTACTTTTTTTTTTTTACATAAAAGGTAGCATACTATGCACACTGATCTGTGTCTTGCTTTTTTCACTTAACTGTATATCTCAGCGATCTTTCCATAGCAATAACTGGCATCCCTCCTTCTCCTTCACCACAGCTGCATAGGATTTATTTTATGGATCATAATTTATTTAAGCAGTATCCTATTGATAAACATTTGGATTTATCAATATTTTGCTGTCACATTTTTTTCTTTAAATCAACTAAATTGAAATCAAATGTAGGGACAATAAAATGTACAGATTTTGAATGTAGAGTTTAATGAGTTTTGACAAATAAATATCTCATCTGTATAATCACCATCACAATCAATATACAGTCATGGGTCACTTCACAATGAGGACACATTCTGAGAACTGCATCATTAGGTGATTTTATCCCTTTACGAATATGATAGAGTGTACTTACACAAACCTAGGTGGTATAGCCTACTACCCACCTAAGCTGTATGATGTAGCCTCTTGTTCCTAGGCTGTAAACCTATGTAAACCTGCAGGCAGTTGTGACACAGTAGCAAGTATTTGTGCATCTAAACATAGAAAAGGTGCAATAAAAATATGGTATTATAATCTTATGGGACCACTATTATACATATGGTCCGTTGTTGACCATATTATGCGGCACATGACTATAGAACATTTCTACCAGTGTTGTCCCCATTCACACTGATTTTATTTCTAACAATATAGTATGTACTCTTCTGTCTCGCTTATTTTGCTCAGTAGATCTGTGAGATTCGTCTGTTTTTTTTTTCTGTTATCAGTGATTTGTAACTTCTAATTTCATTGTGTGAATATACCAACATTTGTTTATCCATTCACCTGTTGATTGACATTTGGGTTCTCCCCAGTTTGGGGCTATGATGAATAAAACTGCTGGGAACTTTCATGTACAAATCTTTATGTGGACCTAGGTATGTATTCCTCCTGGGCAAATACCTAGTAGTAAAATTGCTAGGAGTGAGATTACTAGGTTATATGTCCATTTAACTTTTTAAGCTATTGCCAGAGCATTTCTCAAAGTGTTTATATCATTTTATACTCCCACCACAATGTGGGTTTTCCAGTTTTTTCACATCTTCATTGACACATTGTAATTGTTAGTCATTTACTTTTAGCCATTCTAATGGGTGTGTGTTGGCCAGGCGAGGTGGCTCACGCCTCTTAATCCCAGCACTTTGGGAGGCTGAGGTGGGTGGATCACCTGAGGTCAAGAGTTCGAGGCCAGCCTGGCTAACATGGAGAAACCTCATCTCTTCTAAAAATACAAATATTAGCCGGGTGTGGTGGTGTGTGCCTGTACTCTTAGCTACTCGGGAGGCTGAGGCAGGAGAATTGCTTGAACCTGGGAGGTGGAGGTTGCAGTGAGCCGAGATTGTGCCACTGCATGCCAGCCTGGGTGCCAGAGCAAGACTCTGCCTCAAAAAAAAAAAAAAAAAAAGCCATTGTAATGGATGTGGAATGGTATATAATTGTGATTTTAACTTGCATTTTCCTAATGACTAATGATGTTGTGTCTTTCCATGGGCTTATTGGCCCTTTATATATGTCTTTTTGTGAAGTATTTGTTTAGTTTTGCTCTTTTAAAAATTGGGTTGTTATTATTGACTTGAAAGCATTTTTTCTAGTGGCTGGATGTTGGCTTTGAGGTCCAAGTGTCTGGCTGAGTTTTCTACTTTACTGCTTAATAGTTGTGGAACCTTGTGGAAATAAGCTCTGTAAAGGCCCTTTCTCATCTGTAAAATGGAGATAATAGCACATACTTCACAAGGTAGTTGTAGTTGTGACAAGTAATTTAAATAGTTCATATATGGACTTATTATGGCATATTACCTGGCCTAAAGAACTCAGTAAATGTTAGTGATTATTTTCGTTTGTAAAACAAAATTGCATTGTTTCCTGCAGCATCTTTTGAGTGCCAAGTGGCAAGCGCTTTGAAGGATTGAAAGGTAAATTAGATGACTTGGATTTGCAGGGAAGATCTGTGCACAAGTAATTGTCGTGTGAGGTAGAGAGTGGCCTGGCCTTAAGACTGCTGAGAATGCAGGCTCTATTTGGTACAATCCTAGGGTATTTCTTGAAAGCTTTGGAGTTTGACTAATAATTCCTACTGGATTTCTCCAAGGCTCGTCAAAAGGAAGTTCAGTTTGATTGTTGCTTGCCCAGTGGAATTAACATTACAATTAATTAATTAATTTTTGAGATGGAGTCTCACTCTCTCCCAGGCTGGAGTGCAGTGGCGCAGTTTCAGCTAATTACAACCTCTGCTTCCTGGGTTCAAGCAATTCTCCTGCTTCAACTTCCCAAGTAGCTGGGATTATGGGCACCTGCCACCACGCCCGGCTAATTTTTTTGTGTTTTTAATAGAGACAGGGTTTCACTATGTTGGTCAGGCTAGTCTTGAACTCCTGACCTCAGGTGATCCTCCGGTCTCAGCCTCCCAAAATGCTGGGATTACAGGAATGAGCCATTGTGCCTGGCCTAACATTATAATTTTATAGAAATAATGCTCTCTACCAAGAGTGGTTCCAAGTGGTTAGTTCTAGGGAAGGTGAGAGATAAGATGAGGCAGAATTTAACTTCTAGCACTTTCATTTATTTATTCATTTCACACAGGGGCATGGCGTGCACTCACACTTGTGTTTGCACTTGTGAGTAGTTTGTGTGCTCACTCTCTAGGTTCTGTTATGTTCCAGGCACCATGCTGTGTTCTAAAACAGCCATGAATGGGACAGATGTGGTCTCTATT